CCGCTGCTGCCACCACCACCACCACCCCCGGCACTAGTCCCGCCGCCACCCCCACTCCCTCCGCCGCCTCCGCCGCCACCGCCACCGCCCCCTCCAGCTCCACCCGCGCCCTTGCCCCCCTTGGCCTTGCCAGAGCGACGTCTCCCACTAGGGGCAGACGCCGCGCCGACCGACTCAAGACCAAGCAGGTCGGCAGCAGCAGCAGAGGCAACAGAGGGCAGCAAGGGGGAAGGAGAGCACCCCTCAAAGATGGGGGTGCGAGGGTCACCACGAGAAGCTCCTACAGCGACTATGCTCTTCTCCGCTGCGAGGAGGGCCTTCTCGAGGACGTCGACGGTGAGGGTGGTGGGACAGACCGCGAGAAAGTGGTCCCTGACTACGCGAAGGGAGTCAGGGAGGCGCGCGACTATGTAGTAGAGAGTGATGTACATGGGGGGGGGGGGTTCTTAGCGCAGAACTCAGCAGGAAGGGCAGCGCGGTAGCGAGTGTCACTAGTGCGGAGGTGCGTAATGAGGTCAGCGACAGTGGGAAAGGCAGAGAGGTCAGGAAAAAGGTAGGGAAGCATGAGACGGCTCAGTGCAGCAGTGGCAGGGGAGGAGTAGCGCGCAACTACAGCGTCGTACAAGGTCTGAGCACTCTTGTACTGACTAAAGTGCGCGCGCTCAGAGGTAGGGAGGTGGCGACGCACAGCAAGACGTGCAGCAGCATCGCGGGTGGCCCACTGAGAGCGCACAGTGGGATCAGCATGAGCAGCAGGAGCAGGAGAGGCGCCAGAGGTAAGGTCAAAGAGAGAGAGGCCGTCTGCCCTATCGCACTGTAAAAACAACTGCAGGTCGTCTACCCAGACCTCAAAGTCAACGGCGCGACCCTCAGCGTCAAAAGCTAGGACACTGGGGGTAGCCATGACGACGACAGCGAAGCAGTGCAAGCAGTAGGAGAAGAGCACGCAGTGACAGTGGGACTGTGCTCACCAGGCAGGGCAGGCCGGGCAACTCTGCAGAGGGGCGGCTCGGCGACTCAGCGACTCGGCTGCTGGGCGGCTCGGCTCCCGGGCGGCTCGGCGGCAAGGCGGCTCGGGTGCAGGGCGGCTCGGCTCCCGGGCGACTCGGCGGCAGGGCGGCTCGGGTCCCGGGCGGCTCGGCGGCAGGGCGGCTCGGGTGCGGGGCGGCTCGGCTGCACTGCTGCTCGGCTGCTGCAGGTAGGGTGGCGGGGCCGCGGGACCAGGGGCGGCGGGGCCGAAGTAGCAGGGCCGGCAGATGCAGCGGCGGGGACGGTGGGGCCGTCAAGTGTAGCGGCGGGGCCGCGGCTGGTGGAGCGGCGGGGCCGGCAGAGAGGGCGGCGGGGCCGCGGCTGAGCAGGCGGCGGGGCCTGCGTCGTAGCGGGCGGCGGGGCCGCGTCGTAGCCGGCGGCGGGGCCGCGTCGTAGCGGGCGGCGGGGCCGCGTCAGAGCAGGCGGCGGGGCCGCGTCAGATCAGGCGGCGGGGCCGCGTCAGAGGTGGCGGCGGGGCCGCGTAAGAGGTAGCGGCGGGGCCGCGTCAGAGGTGGCGGCGGGGCCGCGTAAGAGGTAGTGGCGGGGCCGCGTCAGATCAGGCGGCGGGGCCGCGTCGTAGCGGGCGGCGGGGCCGCGTCAGATCAGGCGGCGGGGCCGCGTCGTAGCGGGCGGCGGGGCCGCGTCAGAGCAGGCGGCAGGGCCGCGTCGAGCAGGCGGTGGGGCCGCTCCGTAGCGGGCGGCGTGGCCGCGTCAGAGCAGGCGGCAGGGCCGCGTCGAGCAGGCGGCGGGGCCGCGTCGTAGCTGGCGGCGGGGCCGCGACGTGGCGGCGGGGCCGCGATCGGGTGGCGGGGCCGCGATCAGAAGGGGTGGCGGGGCCGCGTCTGAGGGACGGCGGGGCCACGAGGGAAAGGGCGACTCGAGGGGTCGCTAAAAAAAAGGTGCGCGCCTCGGGGCGCGCTTCGGTGGGCCCTAGGCAACGTTCCCACAGGGAACTCGCTCTATACCATATGAAACAAATGACCAGGAATGGGAATGACTAAGTCAGAGTTGGGTACAAATACAACCCTAGAAAGCTGTACCCCATATGTGCTACCCCACTATAGCCTACAAACATGCATCAGCTATAATAATCTGACAGCGGGCAGTCTACGGTCTCTGCCAGGCGCCTCGTGAGTGGCACGACACACTGAGGACGACTCTTGCGGCTCTTGGGTTTGCTCCTTTGAGTGTTGACCCGTCACTGTTTCTGCGCACCGACACTTCGCTGCCGCCGTTCTACATCCTCGTGTACGTCAACGACTTGGTCTTTGCCTTTGCTGACACTCAGGGACTGGCCCTTGTGAAGTCGGAGCTACAGAAGAGACACACGTGCACAGATCTGAGTGAGTTGCACAGCTAACTTGGCTTACAGATCACCCGGGACAGAGCACGGCGCACCATCACGCTGACTCAGTCACACATGGCACACCAGGTCCTTCAGCGCTTCAACTTTACGTACTCCTCGCCACAGTCCACTCTTCTGGCTACCAGTCACTCGCTCTCAGCTCCACCTTTGGATAAGTCCGTAGAGCTGAGTGGCCCATACCCAGAGCTTGTGGGCTGCCTCATGTACCTGATGACCTGCACTCGACCTGTCCTTGCTTACCCTCTCAGCATCCTTGCACACTACATTGCGCCCAGGAGATATCGACCAGAGCACATGGATGCTGCTAAGAGGGTGTTACGCTACTTTTGCAGTACGTCGGGCATGGAGCTCGTGCTTGGAGGACGGAGTTGAGTTGTTCTCACTGGCCACGCAGACGCGTCTTGGGTTGACGACTTGGCTACGCAGCGGTCGTCACAGGGTTACACTTTCAGCCTTGGCTCCGGTTCTGTTTCTTGGCGGTCTACCCGCTCCTCTTCTGTTCTAAGCTCTAGTTGTGAGGCTGAGATCTACGTAGGGTCCATGGCTACACAGGAGTTATGCTGGCTCACCTACCTATTGACCGAATTGTGAGAGCGGCCTAGTTCTCCTCCAGTTCTGTACATAGACAACAAGGCCATGATTGCCTTGTGTAAGGAGCACAGAGTGGAGCACAAGACGAGACACATCGCTCTGTGTTACTTCCTTGCTTGAGAGTTGCAGTAGAGTGGTCAGCTTTGTCGTGCTTACGTGGCCACTCGGGCCAACACGACTGATATATTCACCAAGGCACTTCAGCCTCATGATTATCAGCGTTTCCCTACTGTTTTAGGCCTTGTGCCTACTTTGCCTCACTTTCTCACTTCGTGACTTTGCATGTACAGTGATTTATATACTTGTACCTACATGCTTATACTTGCTAGGTTGTAATTTCTGTACTGCTTGTTTCCATATATATAACTCTGCGTGTGGACTGGCCTTGTGGCCACTTGCTTGTGCTCAGAGTGTGTGGTGACTTCGTGATCCACCCTGAGCTTGGTTTGCTTTTCTTGAGTGGTCTTGTGACCCCTTGTTCTCCCCCACTTTGCCTATGGGGGTGTGTCAAACTATAATGCTGCTTATGTTGTGTAGGCTGTAGTGGGGTAGCCTATATGTGGTATAACCCAATTAGGGTTAGCACTTATACCACATAACTGATCAATGCATCATCCCTGCTCCTTAGTTTCTGACAGGTCTGGTTGGTCTATTATGTCTATCCATCGGTCTGGAGGTGATATGATGAACTGAATCGTAGGCGTGTGCCGAACTGCTTTAAGAGATCTTTCAAGAAGTTATTTGTGAACTTCATGTCGCAATCTCTGATGTCTACTAGTGATATCTTGTGAAGTCAAACAACAACTGCTATGAACATGCGGGCAGTCTATTTGGCTGAGATGAATTTTTTGCATGCAGCAAAATGGGCCATTTTTGTCAACCGGCCGACGACGACCAGGACCGCGTTGTTACCACCAGGACGTGCTGGTAACCTTGTGACGAAATCCATGGTCACTTGCGGGCAGGCACATTCGAGTGGCGGTATCGGCTGCTGTTGCCCCAATTGTTTTTCAGTAATGACTTCATCACTTGGCATGTGGGGCATGATTATACATGGTGTTGTACGCCCGTTAATAGCTCCGGCTAGTAGTAATACCGTTGCAGGAATGGTTGTGTTTTCTCTGCCCCGAAGTGGCTCGAGGTAACTCCGTCGTGTGCCTCTTGCAGTAATGACTTACGTAGCAGTGAATATGCTGGAACCCATATGCTGTTGGTACCTGCTCTAGGTGACTGGCGGCTGGAGGTTGCGGAGGAGGCTCGTTGACTCTGGGTGAGTTCACTCATTCGGAGTTCCTGTCTAGTGAATCCCATAGAAATACCGGTTATTCACAAGCTCAACTTCGGATGATAGGAGTGAAGAAAAGAAAATTATAGACACTTCAATACAAAAGCTTTTACTTCAGTTCGCACACATGAAATTGTTTAGCACAAACTCAACTTTCCCACCCATTTTCAAATGCATATGCAAGCTTTGATACCGCGTAGAGAAGCCTCACATGATTCATACAATGAAGAGCATGCGACAAGGCATAGACGATCCATAGAATATGAAACCATAGATATCATGGCGCTTTGGCTAATCCTTCTGCATTTGGTTTCAGAGGAATCACAAACCATTGTACAACCCACCTTGCATATTTGCATCTTGCAAGATACACTATGCTTGACTTGCTGTAGCGGTTGAAAGAAACCCCGACCTCCATGCTTTGCATGCGACTCCCCTCTCCCCCCCACCCCACTCCCCAACCACCCATCATCACAACCACGTATCCCTAGCCAAACCAAACTGCATTCCATCCGTTCCCACTCCCCATCTCCCACCACATCCCCCACCCAATCCTCCGCCCCCCCGTCCCTGAATTACCCCCACTCCTGCACTAAACAGGTGAGACTTGGCAGAGCTCCATCCCCTCCTGCTAGTTGGCGAAGGTTGCGGCTCCTTATGTCTCCGTTGCATGTTCAGGAATATCCAGACGAGAGACGGGCCGTCTAGTGATGTTGGTGGTGACGAGAGATGACCCTGCATGCTACTGCTGGTGGTGGTGGCAGTGGCGCTGGTGGTGGTGGCAGTGGCGCTGGTGGTGGTGGTGGCGGCGGCGGCGGCGGCGGTGGTGGTGGTGGTGGTGGTGGTGGTGGTGGTGGTGGTGGTGGTGGTGGTGGTGGTGGTGGTGGTGGTGGTGGTGGTGGTGGTGGTGGTGGTGGTGGTGGTGGTGCTGCTGCTGCTGGAACTGGTGGTGGTGTTGGGAAAGGTGGTATTAACACTGAACTTGTTCATCATCGCTGCTTGTGCTGCTCGTGCTGCTCGTGGTAGAGCTATACTTGCTACAACTTTTGCCGGTTCTGCTTCAGGAGATGCTGGCCTTGATGGGCCTCAGGGCCAACTGCCTGATCTTACAGCTGAAGAAATGGCTGAAGCAGCGGCTGAAGAAAACGTTGAAAGTAGAACTGCACATGCGGGGAGCTGGGAATGCTGAGGGAATGGCAGGAAACAGAAGCAAGAGCAGTTAGGCTGAAGCAGAGTGGAGGATATGGTAGTGAGGAATACGGCAGTGAGGGATGTGGGACAGTTAGGGATATGGGAGTGAGGGATATGAGAGTGAGGGATATGGGTATGAGGGATATGGGAGTGGTGGATATGGGAGTGAGGGATATGGGAGTGAGGGATATGGGAGTGAGGGATATGGGTGTGAGGGATATAGGAGTGATGGATATGGGTGTGAGGGATATGGGAGTGGGGGATATGGGAGTGGGGGATATGGGAATGAGGGACATGGGAATGAGTGATATGGGAGTGAGTGGTATTAGAGATAGGGATATGGGAGTGAGTGGTATTAGAGATAGGGATATGGGAGTGAGGGATATGGGGAGTGAGAGGTATGGGAATGAGTGATGTGGGAGTAATGAGAGGGTGCGATTTCGAAACGAGTGAGGGAGAAAGGCGAAAAGGGATCACTGCAGGAAGTCGTACGCAACAGGGATACTAGATGCAAGATACTGGGCATGGCATGTCAAGCCTTAGAAACGGTCCCTCCTCGCTCCAGTGTGGGCACTTGCAGCTGCTGCTGCTGCTGCTGGTCACTCCTGCTGTGACCTGTCTGTGACTGCAGCCGATAAAATGCTGCGCATGAGGCACGCGATTTTCGTGGTTCCGCACCACCAAACGTAGTCTCATGCGCTGCCTGCAGTTAGCCTGGCTGTGACCCGAGTGCTGAGTGCTGCGCTGCAAGAATATGAGCCTGCGGGAATAAAGGACCCAAGTGGCCCAAGTACAAGTGCATGCAGGAGGTTACAGGTGGTACATGTAACTAACTATGGTGCTCTGAAACCCACGATAGGAATTCATGAACAGTGTAGAAGCGTGTACAGTTTCTGTGCAATGCGAGCAACTTACGGTATCGCATTTCCCATATTATCACCAAGGAGGAGGTAGAGATTCAACCATGTGTATACTTACGGTAGTTAAACAGTAAGTGCATGCATATTTCGTTGTTGAAAAGCACACTCATGAATTGCTAACTTCAAGAACAAGCAGACAGCTATAGAAGTACGATCTAGAACCAGCTACAACAAAAAAGCCAGAAATCACAAACAAGCATGGAGTGGGAGGATGGGCTTTGATGCACCTCAGCAGCACGTGCAATGGGGCTTGAGATGAATCAAAGCTCATCCATTCACTGGCTAGTCCCCTCCCCTGGTCATGCCCTTGACATTCCCTTATCACTCCCATTGGCATTCCCTTGGTCATTCCCTTCACTAGTTTCTTTTCCCTCAGCTTTCTCCGCCTCTGTGCCTTGACTGAGACTGAGTTGCTTGAGGCACTTGGTTTCCTGCCTGCCTGTCCACTGTGAACCGCTAAGGCCTGCCCCATCCCATGCCTCCTCCTTCCCCCATGCCTCCTCCTCCCCCCATGCCTCCTCCTCCCCCCATGCCTCCTCCCCCCATGCCTCCTCCCCCCATGCCTCCACCTCCGCCCATCCCTCCCCCTCCCCTCATCCCTCCTCCTCCGCCCATGCCACCCCCAGGCCCTCCCATTCCTCCGCCCCCTCCCATTCCTCCGCCCCCTCCCATGCCCCCGCCTCCTCCCATCCCCCCATCACCGCCCATTCCTCCGCCTCCGCCCATCCCCCCAGACCCTCCCATGCCACCACCAGCAGCACCACCGCCCATGCCTCCTCCTCCCCCCATGCCTCCTCCGCCAGTCACTCCCCCAGGCCCTCCCATTCCCCCGCCAGCAGCACCACCGCCCATGCCTCCGCCGCCCATGCCTCCGCCTCCCATGCCTCCACCACCCATGCCTCCGCCACCCATGCCTCCGCCGCCCATGCCTCCGCCGCCCATGCCTCCGCCGCCCATGCCTCCGCCGCCCATGCCTCCGCCGCCCATGCCTCCGCCGCCCATGCCTCCGCCGCCCATGCCTCCGCCGCCCATGCCTCCGCCGCCCATGCCTCCGCCGCCCATGCCTCCGCCGCCCATGCCTCCGCCGCCCATGCCTCCGCCGCCCATGCCTCCGCCGCCCATGCCTCCGCCGCCCATGCCTCCACCTCCACTCATACCGCCCCCAGATGGGCCTCCCTGACTGCCGCCCTGACTGCCGCCCATCCCCCCGCTGTAATCCCCACTGTAGTCCCCAGTGTAGCTCCCTCCGTTATAGTCACCACCATTGCCGCCACCATAGCCCCCTCCAGTGTTCTCCCCGCTGTAGTCACCACCAGTGCTGTAGTCCCCTCCATTCCCCCCGCTGTAGTCACCACCGCCATTACCACCACCATAGTCCCCGCCATTGTTGCCCCCACCATAATTACCCCCTTGACCGCCCTGCCCGCCTCCAGCTCCCCCTTGCCCGCTCCCAGGTCCCCCCTGTCCCCCAGGCCCCCCTTGCCCGGCCCCAGGGCCTCCCTGTCCCCCGCCTTGCCCTTGCCCTCCCCCACAGCCCCCACCAGCAGTACCTGACCCTCCTCCTCCCGAGCCACTGCTGTAGTAAGCAGCACCTCCGCCTGTGTTGCCCCCGCCATTACCGCCGCTATAGCCCCCGCCATTGCTGTAGTCACCACCGCCATTACCAACACCATAGTCCCCGCCATTGCTCCCCCCACCATTACCACCCCCTTGTCCTCCCTGTTCCCCACCAGGTCCACCCTGCCCACCGCCAAGACCCCCCTGTCCGCCTCCAGGTCCGCCCTGCCCGCCCCCAGGTCCCCCCATTCCGCCCCCAGCTCCCCCCTGTCCGCCTCCAGGCCCTCTCCTGCAGTCCCCCCCACCGCCTCCCCTTCCTCCGCCTCCACTTCTGTTACCTCCGCCGCCATTGCCCCCACCGCCACTGCCACCCCCATAGTCTCCTCCGTTCCCCCCGTTATAATCACCGCCGCCGTTCCCACCACTGTAATCACCACCCCCGTTGTTCCCCCCGTTGTAGTCACCCCCATAATCCCCCCCCGTGCCTCCGCCAGTGCCCCCCCCCGCACCCCCACCAGTTCCGCCACCCCCTCCCCCTCCGGACGAGGCAGAGGAGCACGCGAAGTCCACTTGCAGCGCGCCACTGGGAGGAGGGGCGAGGGGGAGAAGGGGAGAGAGAGTGAGAGTGAGAGAGAGAAAGGGTGATAGGAACAAAGTGGGAAAGGAAGTGGATGAGTGTGGAGAAACGGAAAAGCAGGAGCATGAAAAGAATCATCAGCGGGTAAACTTGGAAGGAAATCCGAGATGAAATGTACTGCCAAGGGTCTGCAGCCACTCACCCTTGCCCTTCACAAGTTCACTCATGCCCTGCATTTAACTGCTGCACTCTCTCACTCACTCCCTCATCCTTGTCAGAGATGCACTCACTCACTCACTCCCTCATCCTTGTCAGAGATGCACTCACTCACTCACTCCCTCATCCTTGTCAGAGATGCACTCACTCACTCACTCCCTCATCCTTGTCAGAGATGCACTCACTCACTCACTCCCTCATCCTTGTCAGAGATGCACTCACTCACTCACTCCCTCATCCTTGTCAGAGATGCACTCACTCATATCCGGCGTGGAAGCCGAGGGACTGCGAGCCATCGGGGGAGTGCGCCCACACGAGCGTGTTGCTGCCCTGCACGCTCACCGCCACTGAGCCGTCACCTGCAGAGCGGTTGAACCTGCAACGAGAGAGAGGGGAGGAAGGAGGGGGAGAGAGATGGCAGCAGAGAATGAGTGTGTGGGTGGGAGAGTCAAACCGGAGCCCAAACCCTAAAAAAGGCTGACACTCACCCTGAATCCTAAACCATGAGTCCTCCTTCCAAATCCGCAAATATAGATTTCTCAGAAAACCATCGTTGCGTACTTGAGAACGGTGGATCCCGAGGGTGACGTGGCGAGCTGCGCGTTGCCAATATCGAAGCTGCTTGTGGGCTGAACGTCGCTCTGCGCCGTGCCGCTCATGTACACCGCCTGGACGGCGCCGCCCGCCAGATTGCCCACCACGGCGTCGGACGCCGCCATGCGGCCCGTCGCCGACCACCCCACGGCGAACCACCCCGCCGCCGCCGCGCTGCCACCCGCCGCTTCCAGCGCCAAGGCGAGGCGCGACGAGTCCACTGCGCGCCAATGCAGCGTGAGTCCAGTGGACCCCAGCGCCGCCGACCACGCGAACCCCTCCAGCGCCGACGCCGCGCAACCCGAGCCCGTCGCGGCGGTTGTAGCAGCCGCGGAGCCAGCAGCGGCGGTTGTAGCGCCGGTGGTTGTAGCAGCAACTGCAGTGCTGCTACTCCTTTTGCCGGCGTTGATATTGCCACGAAGGAACGTGCTTCCTGATGTCCATATGTGCGCTATGGTCCGGCTATTCGATACCAATCCCTGTGACCTAAGCGCCGCGTGCCTCGCGCCGTTTGTCGCGCTTGGGAAGCTGAGCAGCGCAGCGCCTAGCAGCAGGAGAAGCGTGAGTAGGGCATTGGTGCCCTTGCGGCGCGAGCCAGGCGAACCCGCCATCATGCGCCGATGCATCAGGCGGTTGAGAGAAGCGGAAAATGATCTCCTGCGACTCATTCACAGGCTCGTCACGTGTGCTGCTGTAGCAATAGCTGTTCAAACAAACCCTGGTACCTTGATGCAGGACAGGGTGGGATACAAGGTAGAAGGATCTCCCAACAATTTTGACCGATGAGATGAGTATTGTGGCAGCACAATTTATGTGTGCTGAATACCGAAGCGCACGAGGAGACCACAGGAACATCCACACCCTCAGATTTCTGGGCGATCAGCGATTATCGCGAGCTCTTGCGAGATGATTTTCTTTCGCTGAAGCCAAAGGTTCAGCAGAAAATGCTCGAACTCACGACAAAAGTGGTAACGCGACACTCCTTCGTCAAGACCAGGCTCACCATTCGTGCCTGTTGACTGCTGAAGCTTGATTCACGCTGACTGTCGGCTGGAGTGTTCGGGGGAGACTGGTTGACTCTGGAGCGTTTGACTCGTTGGCTTCCTCCGTCAAGAGAATTCCAGAGAAATCCCTGGTATTGACAGGCTCGATTTTGGAAACATTCACATATAGATGCATTGTGTGTTTAGCGTAGTTCCTCACTACAATCCATGTTATCCGCAGATACATCAGAACTTTTCTGCTTGGTCAGATTAGAAAACCTGACCTAGCAGAAAATTCGATTTCCTGATTCCATCCTAGTAATATTGAAAACCACACTCGAAAAACATAGTCATTCGCCAATGTATCGTAGGAGAGGCCCTGATCTGAATATGATGAGATGCATTCGCTCATAAGATAAGCCTCATATCCTTCACTTGCGTGCTATGACGCACATAGGCAGACAATCAAAACAGTGTGCGATTAAGCACTATACAGCGTTGCCACTAATCTTATTGTATATGGTCACTTAACAGAGTAACCACACCACAAATTGTTGTACCTCTACGCAGATTGCAAGCAAATGCTCTCCTTCTCCTATTGTAGCCATTGAAAGAACCCCCCACCTCCATGCTGTAAATGCAACTACCCCCCTCTCCCCACCCCACTCCCCAACCGCCCATCATCACCACCAACCACCCCCAACCTACCCTCACCAATTATACCACCCATTCTCACTCCCCCTCCCCCCCATCTCCACCCTCTCCTCCTCTGCCTCCTCCTCCCTGAAAACCCTAAACGTGTTGGACCCTACAGTGCTCCAGCCTTGCCAGATGACGAGGCTTTCGGCTCCTTGTGTCTCCGCTGCATGTCCAGGTCTATTATGAAGAGAGCCAGGCCGTCGCCTGATGAAGCGCTTTTGTCCATGCTGCTGCTGGTGATGGTGGTTGTGGTGGTGGCGGTTGTTTTGGCAGAGGTGCTGTTGGGAAAGGCTGCATTAGCAACGAATATGTTCATCATCGCCATTTGTGTGGTGCATGGTATGTGGTGCCTGTGCGGAGGCAGCAGGTGCAGCAGCGTCTGAAGCAGTTGGATTTGGTGCAGCGGGGGGAACAGAGGAAATGACTCATTGAAAGAGGCACTGAGAATTCAGCAGCAGCGTTGGGGAAGGCTACTGAAGGAATTGCTGGATAAGCAGCATGTTGAAGGAAATTGGCCCCGCCCTCGCATGGGCGAATTGACTTTGTGGTTGGGTGCGTGGGAGGTGCAGCCGACCTTCCGTAGAGGCTGACGAAGGTGGTCATCGACCTGCGCGGAACCAGTGTGACTTCGTCGACGAAGGAGTTCAACGAGGATGGTCGATGAAGCAGTTTGTCGACCAGAGTGGCGCAACTGGTGCAGAAGTTCATGGGTGTTCGTCAGCGCAGCGTCGCATCTGACCCTGCGCAACCTTGAGACTCCACAGGCGAATTTTGGCCAGAAATTCGAATGTGCCCTAATTTCGACCAATCAGGGGCTGAAATTTTGAAATGTCAACCGAGGTGCTCAACGAAGGTGCTCGACGAAGGTCATCGAGCAGCGACGACGAAGGTCGTCAACCCGCGACGACGAAGGTCGTCAACCGGTGATGACGACGGTCATCATCCTGCAGAGATGTCAGGGACTTCGTTTGGTTGACCAAGTTACCTGCTCGACGAGTGCGCGAAGGTGTGCGAACGTCGTCGAAGCGGTTGTGGCGAAGTCGACCGGCATGGCAACATGTGGTCGACGTGGCTCATCATGTGCAACCGTCAGCATGTGGCTGACAACCTGTGCAATGTGTGTGACAGTGCACGTCGTGCATAACTGTCTACAAGCACCTGCGAAGTAGGTGCTTGCACATGCGCTTACAATCACCTGCGGATGCAATGTTGGCAAGCCGCGCGGATGCTGCATTGGCAAGTCGTGCGGGTGCAGCGTTGGCAGGCCTCCATTTGCAGCGTTGGCAAGTCGCACATAAGCTGCGTTGGCGGGCCGCAGACTTGCTACGTTGGCAGGTCGACAACTCTGTCACGCTGGCAGTCGACCTGCCTGGGCACTAGCAAACCTTGCATATGATGTAGTCAATCCTTTGCCATTGCTTATTATCATTCCGAACTCTGTTATTCTCATCTTTCCTTAGTGAAACTCTTGCTGTTTTGCCCTGTAAAAACACAAGTCCTAGAGAACACTGACAGAGCTACGATCACTCTACCAACTCGTGCCTACCCTGCAGTCTAGCTCCCACCGTTGTAGAGTTAATCTCCTCACAGCAGTAGCGGTGAAGGTGTGACCCTGTGGGGAGGAGTGGTTGGAGTGTGAAGATTGAGAGTGAGGGATATGGGAGTGAGGGATATGGGGGTTACTTCGAGTGAGTTATTGAGAGTGAGGGATTGACAGGGAGGGATGTGGGAGTGAGGCATATGGGAGTGAGGGATTGAGAGTTAGGGACTGAGACGGAAAGATTGAGAGTGAGGGATTGAAAGTGAGGGATATGAGAGTGAGGGATATGGGAGTGAGGGGTATGGGAGTGAGGGGTATGGGAGTGCGGGATATGGGAGTGAGGGATAAGGAAGTGAGGGATTTGGGAATGAGTGAGATAGGAGTGAGTGATTCAGGAGTGAAGGAATCGCAGATGTGGAATATGGGAGAGAGTGTGTGGTTTGGGAGTGAGAAATATGGGAGGGCGATTCGGGAGTGAGGGATTTGGTAGTGAGGGATATGGGAGTGAGTGATATGGGAGAATGATTCGGGAGTGAGGGATTCGGGATTGAGTGGTTTGTGAGTGAGGGATTCTGGAGTGAGGGACTTAGGAGTAAGGGCTTTGAAAGAGAGATTCGGGAGTGAGTGCTTTGGGAGTGAGGGATTTGGGAATGAGAGATTTGGGAGTGAGGGATTTGGAAATGAGAGTTTTGCGAGTAAGAGATAGGGGAGTAAGGGATTTGGGAATGTGGGGAGTAAGTGATATGGGAGTGAGGGAAATGGGAGTGAGGGATATTGGAGGAAGGGATATAGGTGTGAGTGATTTGGGAATGAGAGATTTGGGAGTGAGGGATTTGGAAATGAGGGTTTTGCGAGTAAGAGATAGGGGAGTAAGGGATTTGGGAATGTGGGGAGTAAGTGATATGGGAGTGAGGGAAATGGGAGTGAGGGATATTGGAGGAAGCAAATTGAAGACATGGGAGTGTGGATTTTGGGGTTTAGGGTGAGAGACATGGGAGAGTGGTTTGGGAGTGAGTGATTTGGGTTGGGAGTGAGTGATTTGGGTGAGAAATATGGGATACTGATGTGGGAGTAAAGGATTTGGTAGTGAGGGGTTTGGGAGTGAGGGATTTGGGTGTGAGGGATGTGGGAGAGAGGGATTTGAGAATGAGGTATTTGGTAGTGAGGGGTTTGACAATGAGGCATTCAGCAGTCAGTGTTATGAGAGTGGGTGATATGGGAGTGAGTGATACGGGATTGAGGGATGTGGGAGTGGGTGATACGGGAGTGAGGGATTTGGGGGTGAGGGATACGGGAGTGAGGGATTTGGGAGTGATGGGTATGGGAGTGATATCAATATGCTACAGAAACGTCTTGAGCTCAATGCCCGATTGTGAAGTGCTGCAATGTAAGGTAGAACACGTGCACAGCACATATACGTTGCATGATACAAAGTGAAGGAGCCACTGAATGCCCATGAGGGGTGTGGGATATTAAATACGTCGCATCTTTTTAATCACCCAGAAACATAGACGTACCTTTTTAGTCACCCAGAAACATATATGCCTGAAGTACATACTACTCACAAAATGGTGCTCGGAAATGAAGGAACCGGTGAGTGAACAACAAGGTGGCTGATATTTACGTTGATGGCTTATTGTGTGCCATTAAGGTTCCTACTGGTTGCTTCTTTGCAAAACCAATTGTTTACGCAATAACCACAACTGGAATGCTTGTGAAGGACAGTGTTGTCTGAAAAAAAAGAAAGAAATCCGAGACAGTGAGGTGAAATACATTTGCATCCTTTCTCAACATGCAGATTACAAAACATTTTTACTAACACCTACACTGATTAGGCTTTGATGTACCTCAGAATCACGAGCCACTTTGAGGTAAATCAAAGCTAAACCAACTTGCACCCTAGAGCCACCTTCCTTTGCACCTCTGATTGGAGTTGCTGTGCCTGCCTCAGCCACACCTCCCCAGTCAGCAAGCCTCAATGCCTTCCACGACCGCCAGGCCCTCCCCCCATGCCTCCTCCCCCGATGCCTCCTCCCCCCATGCCTCCTCCCCCCATGCCTCCTCCCCCCATGCCTCCTCCCCCCATACCCCCACCTCCGCCGGTCCCTCTCCCTCCCCTCATCCCTCCTCCTTCGCCCATACCACTCCCAGGTCCTCCCATTCCCCCGCCCCCTCCCATTCCCCCGCTCCCTCCCATTCCTCCGCCCCCTCCCATACCCACACCTCCGCCCATTCCCCCAGGCTCTCCCATGCCACCGCCAACAGTACCACCGCCCATGCCTCCCCCGCCATTTAAACCCTCAGATGGGCCGCCCTGGCTGCCGCCCTGACTGCCGCCCTGACTGCCGCCCATCCCCCCGCTGTAATCCCCACTGTAGTCCCCAGTGTAGCTCCCTCCATTATAGTCACCACCATTGCCGCCACCATAGCCCCCTCCAGTGTTCCCCCCGCTGTAGTCATCACCAGTGTTGTAGTCCCCTCCATTCCCCCCACTATAGTCACCACCGCCATTACCAGCCCCGTAGTCACCACCATTGCTCCCCCCACCATAATCCCCCCCAGGTCCCCCCTGCCCGCCTCCAGCTCCCACTTGCAAGGCCCCCCTGTCCCTCACCAGGTCCGCCCTGCCCTCCCCCACCTTCCCCGTGTCCCCCAGGTCCCCCGCCTTGCCCTTGTCCTTCCCCACATCCCCCACCAGCACCCCCACCAGCCCCTCCTCCTCCACCTCCTGCGCTGTAGTAACCACCTTGTCCGCCAGTGTTGCCTCCGCTATAGTCACTTCCGCCATTACCACCGCTGTAGCTCCCCCCATTGCTGTAGTCACCACCATTGCCGTCCCTAGCTCCCCCCTGCCCGGCCCCAGGTCCGCCCTGTTCCCCAACAGAACCGCCCTGTCCGCCCCCAAATCCCCCCTGTCCCCCACCACGCCCCACTTGCCCGCCCCCAGGTCCGCCCTGCCCTCCCCCAGGCCCCCCCTGTCCCCCACCAGGCCCCCCACGTCCGCCCCCAAGCCCTCTCCTGCAGTCCCCCCCACCGCCTCCCCTTCCGCCGCCTCCTCCGCCACCACCACTGCTACCTCCGCCACCACCACTCCCCCCACCGCCGCTGCCACCCCCATAGTCCCCACCACTCCCCCCGTTATTGTCACTTCCACCATTGTAGTCCCCTCCATTCCCTTTGTTATAATCACCGCCACCATTACCATCGCTGTAATCACCACCCCCATTGTTCCCCCCGCTGTAGTTACCCCCAGAGTCGCCCCCACCTCCGCCAGTGCCTCCCCCCGTGCCCCCGCCAGTGCCGCCACCCCCTCCCCCTCCGGACGAGGCAGAGGAGCACGCGAAGTCCACTTGCAGCGCGCCACTGGGAGGAGGGGCGAGGGGGAGAAGGGAAGGGGGAGAGGGGAGAGGGAGCATGAGAAGAGGGAATCAAGAGAAGGAAAACGGAAGCTGCGAGATGGGTTGGAATGAAATGAAACGATGAGATGAGTTGGCTCGGGAATTTACCACTCGCTTATTGAGATCGTGGAAGCCGAAGGTCCGAACTTACTTTCTCACAGTTTACTCTCTCACACTTTGTCTGAGCTGGATGAGGTGAAGTCTTAGGAAATAGAGGTTGGGATGAGGGGCAGTACTTATACTATCACCCATGCCTGTGCTGGGCTGGAATACCCTGCCTTAAAGAACTAAACGATGAGATGAGGGGCGGCACTCATACATAGTCGGCGTGGAAGCCGAGGGACTGCGAGCCGTCGCTAGAGTGCGCCCACACGAGTGTGTTGCTGCCCTGCATGCTCACCGCCACCGAGCCATCTCCCGCCGACCGGTTGAACCTGATTGAGGGAATGTGGGGTGAGAGGGGAGGGAATAGTGAGTGTGTGGGTCCGAGAGGAAAAGTAGTAAAAAATAAAGACATGAACTTACACCCTGCATCCGAAACCCTAAGCCTCATTTTCTCAAAGATATTTTTCCTGAAACAACCGACAACAACAAACCGCAACATCACAAACCAGCGCCCGACGTACTTGAGAACGGTGGATCCCGAGGGTGACGTGGCGAGCTGCGCGTTGCCAATATCAAAGCTGCTTGTGGGCTGAACGTCGCTCTTGTTGTGTCAGATTTATATGACATAGCTACTGTAGGCTATAGTGGGGTAGCACATATGGGGTACAGCTTTCTAGGGTTCATACTTGTACCCAACTGTCAGAACATTATAGCTTATGCTTTTGTGTAGGCTGTAGTGGGGTATCCCATAGGGGGTACAACCCAATTAGGGTTAGCACTTGTACCCACTTCATTAATAGTTCATTCATTCTCGTTCATACTTTCTCATGGTATCGAGCAGGTTCCCTCGTGGGAACTGTTCCTAGGGCCCACCGATCCCTTTTTTTTCTGCCTGGGGCGCGTCCTGCCCCTGCCCGAAGCGCGCCTAGGGTCGCGCCCTTCTTAGCGGCCCCGTCGCGTCACCTTAGCGGCCCATCGAGTCGCCCTTAGCGGCCCGTCGCGACGCCCTTACGGTAGCGTCGCACAGCCCTAACGGCCGCGTCGCGCCGCCCCTTTCACAAGCGGCCCGTCGCCGCCCTAGCAGCGGCCCGTCGCCGCCCTAGCAGCGGCCCATCGCCGCCCTAGCAGCGGCCCGTCGCCGCCCTAGCAGCGGCTCGTCGCCGCCCTAGCAACGGCCCGTCGCCGCCCTAGCAGCGGCCCGTCGCCGCCCTAGCAGCGGCCCGTCGCCGCCCTAGCAGCGGCCCGTCGCCGCCCTTTCACCAGCGGCCCGTCGCTGCCCTAGCAGCGGCCCGTCGCCGCCCTTCTCACCTGCGGCCCGTCGCCGCCCTAGCAGCGGCCCGTCACCACCCTTTCACCTGCGGCCCCGTCGTCGCCCTAGCAGCGGCCCGTTGCCGCCCTTCTCACCTGCGGCCCGCCGCTCTCAATTGCGGCCCCGCCGCCCTAATCTGCTGCGGCCCCGCCGCCCTCATCTGCGGCCCCGCCGCTCTCTGCTGCGGCCTCGCCGCCCTCTGCTGCGGCCTCGCCGCCCTCTGCTGCGGCCTCGCCGCCCTCTGCTGCGGCCTCGCCGCCTCTCACCTACGGCCCCGCCGCTCTCCTCTGTGGCCCCGTCACCTGCTGCAGCGCCGCCCGCCACCAGGGCTGCCTGAACCGCCCCACCCAGCCGAGCAGCCGACCGCCGCGCCGCCCTGCAGCAGCACCGCCGAGCCGCCCGGGCGACGGAGCAGCCGGACAGCCGAGCCGCCAGGCCGCTCAGCAGCCGAGCCGCCTCGCAGCCGAGCCACCCATCAGCCGAGCCGCCCTGCAGCCGAGCCGCCCAGCAGCCGAGCTGCCCTGCAGCCGAGTCGCCCTGCTGCCAGCCGCCCGAGCTGCCCCGTCCGGTAAGCACTGCGTCTCCCTCACCCTACTGTTTGCACTGCTAGTCTACTGTGGTCATGGCTACCCCTACTGTCCTTGCTTCTGACGCTGAGGGTCGGGCCATTGACTTTGAGGTCTGGGTAGATGACCTGCAGCTGTTCTTATAGTGCGATAGGGCAGACGACCTCTCTCTCTTTGACCTCACCTCTGGCGCTTCCCCTGCCCCTGCTGCTGATGCTGACGCCACTGTTCGTTCCCAGTGGGCCACGCGCGACGCTGCTGCACGTCTTGCTGTGCGTTGCCACCTCCCTACCTCCGAGCGTGCACACTCTAGTCAGTACAAGAGTGCTCAGACCTTGTACGACGCTGTAGTTGCACGCTACTCCTCCCCTGCCACTGCTGCACTGAGCCGTCTCATGCTGCCCTACCTCTTCCCTGACCTTGCTGCCTTTCCCACTGTCGCTGACCTCATTACGCACCTCCGCACTAGTGACACTCGCTACCGCGCTGCGCTTCCTGCTGACTTTTGCGCCAAGAACCCCCCCCCCATGTACATCACCCTCTACTTCATAGTCACCCGACTCCCTGACTCCCTTAGAGTAGTCAGGGACCACTTCCTCGAAGTGTGCCCCACCACTCTCACCATTGACCTCCTCGAGAAGGCCCTCCTAGCGGCGGAGAAGAGCATAGTCGCTGTAGGAGCCTCTCGTGGTGACCCCCGCACCCCTGTCTTTGAAAGGTGTTCTCCCTCCCCCCTCTTGCCCTCCGTTGCTTCTGCTGCTGCGGCCGACCTCGTTGGTTTCGAGTCGGTCGGCGCTGCGTCTGCCCCTTCGGGGAAGCGCCGCACAGGCAAGGACAAGGGGGGCAAGGGCGCTGGAGGAGCTGGCGGGGGCGGTGGAGGTGGCGGTGGAGGCGGCGGAGGGAGTGGGGGTGGTGGTGGGAGTGGTGGAGGGGGTGGGGGTACCGGTGGCAGCAGTGGTAGCGGGGGCGGCGGCGGTGGCGGAGGGAGCGGAGGCGGCGGTGGTGGTGGCGGAGGTGGCGGAGGCGGCGGAGGCGGCGGAGGAGGCGGAGGTGGCGGTGGAGCTGGTCGCGGGTCTACGCAGAGGAGTGGCTCCGATGGTGGTTCGCGCCAGCAGCAGCAGCGCGGTCGTGAGACCCTGTCCCCTCAGCAGCTCCGTGAGTGGTACACTGCACGCCAGCGGGGTGGGGGTTTTGGTCCGTGCACCTACGTCCTGCGCACCGGCGACCGTGCGGGTGAGCAGTGTGGGGGTGCGCACCCCACCCAGCGCTGCTTTGGCCACCTGACGGACGCGTGGTGTCACTAGTTCCCTGAGGCCACAGAGATCCCTCGCTGGGGCGAGCTGTCTAGGGCGGGAGTTGCCATCTATGATCTTGATTTTGATGCTATTCTTTCTGCCATGTATGCTGTGACTATTAGTGATGAGGGTGACTGTTACCGGTGTTTCCCGCCCGATCCGGGCATTTAGACTGCTGCTCTAGGTACTGGTACGGCTGCTGCCCTAGGTACTTGCGACGGTGCTGCTCTAGGTGCTAGTGCGTCTGCGTCCTCAGGTACTGGTGAGTCAGCGCTCTCAGGTACTGCGTCGGCTTTGGCCTCCCTCACCTTCACCCTTGACTCCGGGGCTTCTCGCTCCTTCTTTCGGGACCGCACCACACTAACGCCGCTTCGTCGGCCGGTTGCGGTGTCTCTGGCTGACCCCTCTGGGGGTCCTGTCCTGTCTCACTTCTCCACAGTCCTCCCGTGTCCGGCAGCCCCCTCTGGCACCCTTTCTGGTCTCTACCTCCCCTCGTTCTCTACGAACTTGGTGAGTGGTGCTGACCTACAGGATGGGGGAGTGCACCAGTTCACTCCTGCGCGTCAGCGAGTGACGCACTGCACAGAGGCTCGCACAGGCTGCCACTTGGCTACGTTTACACGTCAGCCGGGGTCGAGCGTGTACACACTGACCACTGCGTCTCCTCCAGTCACTGAGTCTGGTCGGGTAGCTGTGTCGGGTCAGGTGTTTGCTGCAGCGTCCAGGTCTGGCCCTGAGTCTGCCCCCTGTTCGTGTCGTCTCCTGTCTCACGAGACTCTCCTCTGGCACCACCGCCTTGGTCACCCCTCTCTGCTTCGTCTCAGAGGCATGGCCTCCCGTCTTCTTGATTCTGGTCTCCCCCGGTCCCTCCCTCCCCTTCCTCAGGGGCTTGGCCCTACCTGTGTCCCCTGAGTCGAGGGGCGCCAGCGGGCTGCCCCTCACTCCTCCCAGTTTCCTCCGACAGAGGCCCCGCTGCAGACGCTTCACATGGACGTGTGGGGCCCAGCCCGCGTCCGTGGACAGGGTCACGAGCGCTACTTCCTGCTCGTTGTTGACGACTACTCGCGTTACACCGCGGTCTTCCCCTTGCGCAGCAAGGTTGATGTTACAGAGGTGCTGATCGACTGGATCCGCGAAGCTTGTCTGCAGCTCAGGCAGAGCTTTGGTCCGAACTTTCTTGTCCTGCGTCTGCACTCGGACAGAGGCGGAGAGTTTTCCTCTGGCCTTCTGAGAGCCTACTGTCGCGCACGAGGCATCCGTTAGACCTTCACGCTTCCGGATTCTCCGCAGCAAAATGGAATCGCTGAGAGCCGCATTGGCATGGTCATGGACGTCGCTCGTACGTCTATGATGCATGCGGCTGCCCCCCATTTTCTGTGGCCGTTTGCGGTGAGGTACGCGGCGTATCAGATCAACCTTCACCCCAGGGTCTCCAGGCCGGAGACCTCCCCAGCCTTGCTGTGGACGGGGAAGGTTGGCGATGCGTCGGCGTTCCGGGTCTGGCGATCTCGGGCGTTTGTCCGCGACTTGTCTGCGGACAAGCTGTCCCCTCGTGCTGCTCCTTGCGTCTTCCTGGGGTTCCCCCCGGACGCGCCTGGGTGGCAGTTCTACCACCCCACCTCTCGCCGTGTTCTGTCCTCCCAGGACGTCACGTTTGACGAGTCGGTCCTCTACTACCGCCTCTTCCCCTACCGCACTCCGTCCCTCCCCCCGCCCCCGCTCTTCCTTGTCCCAGGTCCCCCCCCGGTAGACCCCCTCCCCCCTCAGGGTCCTGCCCCTTCAGGTGTGTCCCAGGTAGACGCAGTCGAGCCTGTCGAGGTTACTGGTGACTCTGGTGCTGCTGAGGGTACTGGGCCTGGGGGTGCTGAGCGTGAGGGTGCTACTCCTGGGGGTGCTGAGCCTAGGGGTGCTGAGACTGAGGGTGCTGAGCCTAGGGGTGCTAAGCCTGGGGGTGCTGAGCCTGGGGGTGCTGAGCCTGGGGGTGTTGTGCCTGGGGGTGCTGCGCAGGGGGTGCTAAGCCTGAGGGTGCTGAGCCTGGGGGTGCTGAGCCTGAGGGAGCTGGCCCTGTTCGTGTGGAGTCTGGTGGTGCTGGGCCTGGAGGTTCTCCGGGTGCTTCGTCTCGGCGGGAGCCACTCTCTTCACAGGAGCTGTGCGAGTGGTTTGCCCGGCGGTGGAGCCGTGCTGCTGGGGCTGGAGGTTCTTCGGCTACTGAGGGTGCTGCTGTTGCGGGTCCCGGAGGTGCTCGTACTGGGAGTACTG